CCGCCATCGTGTCCCCCGTCAGCATGAAGACCGTGCTACAGGTGGGTGTCCGAGGGCGGGTTTAAACCGCGATAATTGCGCCAAAAACGAGGTTAAAGTAGCCAAAATCTGTAATACAGTAGCCAAAAATCTGTCGTCGGGAAACGACGTGCGTAGGAGATTGTTTGTTGAAATCCGTTAAAATGATGTTTCCAGCCGCGTTTCCACGCTTTAAACAGCGGGGAACAAGCTTTACGCGCGGCGATAATTGCGCCAAAACGAGGTTAAAGTAGCCAAAATCTGTAATCCACGGATGGGACACGACGTGCGTAGGAGAGATTGTTTGTTGAAATGCGTTAAAATGACGTTTCCTGCTGCGTTTCCACGCTTTAAACTGCGGGGAAACAGCTTTACGCACGGCCGGGTCTCCGCTTTTTTCTGCCTGTGCGTATTTTCCATCGATCTGCACCACCATCGTGTCCCCCGTCAGCATGAAGACCGTGCTACAGGTGGCAGAGGGCGGATTTAAACCGCGATAATTGCGCCAAAACGAGGTTAAAGTAGTCAAAATCTGTAATCCACGGATGGGAAACGACGTGCATAGGATATATTGTTTGTTGAAATGCGTTAGAATGATGTTTCCTGCCGAGTTTGGACTCTTTAAACAGCGGGGAACCAGCTTTACGCACGGCCGGGTCTCAGCTTTTTTTCTGCCTGTGCATAGGGCGGATTTACCGTCTTTAGCGCAGCGATAATTGCGCCAAAACGAGGTTAAAGTAGCCAAAATCTGTAATCCACAGATGGGAAACGACGTGCGTAGGAGAGATTGTTTGTTGAAATCCGTTAAAATGATGTTTCCTGCCGCGTTTCCACGCTTTAAACTGCGGGGAAACAGCTTTACGCGCGGCCGGGTCTCAGCTTTTTTCTGCCTGTGCGCATTTTCCACCGAAAACACACCAATTCTGCAATATTTTCTTTATATAAATTGGTTCATTTGTTGTATTTATGTGAATCAAACCGATAGGCTACATTATTTTCCATTTCTCTATGAATATCGCTCATTAAAATCCTCAGTTTATCACATCTGGGAACCAAAACATTGAACTGGAAGCGTCAGAGAAGTCTGAAAAAGGGGAAAAAAGATGTGGAACGGCTGTGAGAAAGTGGGTTGATGTGGAAATGTGTGACAAGTGTCTTTGGTCTGGTGCCGGTGGGAGGATTTGTTGGTTTTACTTCATCCACAATCTGATTTACTGAGCAGAAAACCGGGAGTTGACCTTTCCACTTGACTTCCTTTCATTCTTTTCACCAGAATTGTTTCAAATTCTTCATCATTTCAGTTTCCCAAATGAGGATTCATTGGCTTTTTCTTAAGTTTTTCTAATGTCAATCTATTCTCTTCAAAATCTCACTCCTCTTTTTCCCTTCAACGTCTTTATTGACAGTTTACAGTGTGCATAGTTCCACATTTCTATTGTTAAATTGTTCCTTTGTGTCAAATAACTTCAATTTTACATCTCCAACGCACAATCTAAAAGTAATTTTCTAACTATAACCACTTAGACACGTCAATAAATACAAATTTTAGACATCTTTAAGCTGCAAACTGAATAAAAGCAGCCAGTCTGAGCTGAGTAGAAAAGCACGTTACAGAAGTTTTAACCGGTTCGTTATTTCGAAATGCAACGAAAGAAGGTAAAAAGAAAAAAAACGATCCTACATTAAGTAAAACAACCGCTGCTACTTTATTTTACATATGTGTTTCCATGACAACATGAACTTCCTGCAGACACTACGGAAGCCTAGATTATTGGCAAAATATGTCTAACTCAAAATTTACTAATAAACAAACAAATAAGAACAGAAATTTATCTTAAACTGACAATAATAAATTCAACTTATACTTTCTATAAATGAGGCTTACAGAGGTGAAAAACTCACTTGAACACCATTATCAGACCCAAAAAAAACAAAAAAACGAGGTGAAATGTGTCTTCTTTTTATAAGTGTGGTACCTTTAATTGTAAATCTGGTTGTGTATTTGTTTTTTAACTGGAAACTGAAGTGGTGTTTGAAGGGAAAACAGCCTTCAGCATGACTGAGTCACCATGATTAGCATCTTCTCTGCTTTGGTTCTTCCATCTCTTTCTGCTTTCCCATTAGTCCGGGATGGAAATGCAAACTGGGGCTCCGATTGTGTGGAAACACATGAGAAATCTAAAATGAAGGAAAATGATGAGGAGGTCTCAGATTGAACAGGAGCTTCAAACCTCAAATCAACTCCGTTCTTTCCACTTAAACCAAACTCCAAATACCAAACTTAAACAATGAAGAAGATCTTAAGCTCTTTCTTTCTCAGTCCAAAGGGGACAACCTGTATAACATTACGATAAAGAGGCTTAAATCTACAGCAGTCTGTGTTTAAACCTCTCTCAGTTGGGTCCGTTAACAGGTATTGTTCAGATCAAATAGATTAAATCAGAAATCTGTGAGGAAATAATTAGTGTTAGTGAAGTTAAAAGGCTTTTAAAGGCCGAGCGCCAAGCCACAAATGACAAGAAATCAGGTGGATATTATCCCTTTAAAGCCCGATCCAAGAATAAAACAAAACAGAAAATTACTATTTTTTGGTTTGAAGTCTTTATTTGTTCTTTTAACAAAATATGTAAAAAGTAAAAAAAGAAAAAACAGAAATACATTTTTAATATTAATCATTTATTACTATGCAATAAGTCAAGATTATTTTTTTGTGTAGTCTTCTGCCTCCTGTTATCAGGTATATCTGATTGTGTACAATAGGATTTTTGAGCAAAATTTTTACCATTAAATTACGCAAAAGGAGTCAGACGCAAAACATTTCAGAAACCGTATGAATCAGATATGATACATTTGGCATTATAGGGTTAAGCAGTTTTAGACCAGAAAAGAAACTAATGATGGAAACAGGATGATGGAAACGAGGTTTATGGAAAATTCTGCTGATGATCTCTCAAATACACGGAAAAAGGCTTTAGGATGTGAAAAGAAAATGAGACTGAGAGAAGCAGGAGTGGACAAAAGTGAAGCAAAAAGACGATAATTTAGACTTTTTTTTATATTAAAAACCAAAAAACAAACTTTTGAGTTAGCAGAAAGCGATTAAACTAAAAATAATTAATGTCGACTTTTTTTTTTTTTTTTGGGGAGTCAGATCCGGTTTGTGCTCTTACCAGGGGGCCTGTTTACCGTCTGGTTGTTTGCTTTTGCGGCTTTAAGTGGACGCTCACTGTGAGAAACAGGGTCCAGTTGTTTGTGCATTGGAGTGATTCTGAATTGCAAACCGAACGTCCACTCAGGGGGAAAAGGACTTCTGCATTATTGCTGCACTTTTCTGCTTGGTTGAAATGTTGGTTGTTGCTTTTTCCCCCATCCTGGAGGAAGCTAGTTTGTTGGAACTGTTAATATTTCCCCATCTAGTGTCAATAAAGAGATACGAGGTGAGTTTGTTTGAACTAATGACGAAGCCCCCCGGTCACTACACTCCTTATACAGTGGGGGAAATAAGTATTTGACCCCTTACTGATTTCGCAGGTTTTCCCACTTACAAAGAATGCAACGATCTATAACTTTAATCAAATGTACATTCTAACAGTGAAAGACAGAATCCCAAAGAAAGTTCCAGAAAATCACATCATATGAATTTATAAAAATT